TTTCCTTCTCTCTCTCCTTTTTTTTTTTTTTTCTTTGCTGCCTCCCTTTTTCCTTCGCCGTTTTCTTTGCTCTATCACCCCCTCTTCCCTCTGCGCGTGCGCGCGGGGCAATTGCGCGGAGGTCCCTGGGGACCATAAAGGGGGGAGGAAAGAAGGAGTAATGAAGGCGGGACACAACCCCCACGCCACCACCCAGCACGTATATTCATATATATGCATACAGAAAAAAAATAAGCAAGAAGGAAACGGAGAGGCCGTGGGTACGTGTTCGTTGCTGCTGCTGTTGTTGTTGTTGTTGTTGTTGTTGTACGTCTGCTGTGCGTAACGTCTCTCTCGTCTACGTCGTGGCGGGGAGAGAGAGAGAGAGGGCGAGTGATTTGAAGTTGTTTAATGTGTCACTGTAGGTATTCCCCTCACTGCGAAGAGAAGGTGGTTTGGTTTGCGCTAGTTTATACGCACATATATATATTTATATATATATAAATATATATTCTCTCAGTGGCTGCTCCTCCGTTCCTTCTTTCTTTCTCTCTCGCTTTCTCATTCTCTCTGTTTCTCTCCTCTTGCAAGTCGCTCAAGGAGAGATTGTATGAGCTCTGAGGGACAATGCGTGTGTGTTTATGTTCGTTTTGTTTTTTTTCTTTTCTTTTTCTTTTCCGTGTTCTCGCCGTAAAGATTATTGCGGGGCGACGGTGATGGGGTAAATAAGAAGAAGAAGAGAGAGAGAGGAGGCGGCGGCGGGGGGGGGGGGAAGTATTGCGTTGCTTGCGGCGAAGCATTGCGCCGCGGTGTCCGGGTGGCCCTCTACGCGCCACCCACCGGCGGCAACCGCCGCGTGTGGGGCGGCGAGCGGGAGCGGGGCGCACTTGACGTCGCCGTGACGCACGCAGCTGCAAGTTGCGGCCCACCCCCGCGCGGTGGCGGGGGGCGACGCCGCGGTTGGTCTCTGCCGCTTCTCTCCCTGCGCCGGCGTGAGGGGAGAGAAGGAGGACCGCCACCACCACCGCCAAAGACAACAGCAACAACAAACTTAAAAAAAAAAAAGATGCTCGTCGTTGTCTCGCGCTTTTTTTTTTGTCGGTCTGTTTTGTTGTTGTTGTTGTTGTTTTGCCCCGCCCTTGCGGCTCCTCGCGTTGGTGGCCTGCACGGCGTGGAGCGACGCCTGCCTTCACGTCCACTCTGTGTGTGTTTTTTTTTCTTCTTTTTCTTTTTGCTTTTTTCGTCTCCCTCGCTGGGCCGTGCGCCTCCGCTGCCGTCGCTGCGAAGGGTTCAAAGAAGGCGGCGCGCGTGGGCATCCGACTCCACGCACCCGCACTCGCCAACGTGCACGCACAGACAGACGCCCACGCACACGTCCCACTCGCACGCGCCCGCCGTGCCTGTCTCCGTGTGCGCGCCTGCCGACCGCCGAGAGCTGTGAGGCGGTGGGAGGGGATTTCGCTGCGGCCGGTGACGGGCCCACCGCTACACGCATAAAGGCGCAGAGCAGAGGAGGTGTGCTGCGTCACACACACGCACACACACACACACACGCACGCACGAAGCGGCGGGAAATTCAAAGGGACTCTGTCCTCTTTTCCCTTTGGTGTTAATCGGCCTTAATTCATTTACTCCACCAAACATCGTACATAACGCCATCAATAGGACGAAGAACGAGAGCAAAAGTAAAAAATAATAAAGAAACAAAAAAAGTAGCTCAACGAGTCCCCGCAGGTGGCTGGCGAGTAACCCCACCGGCGTTCATACAGATAGACAGAAGTGCGATTGTTGGTGCCCACATAGACGACTTGGGTGCTGCCGCCTGTCGGGTGGTGTGTTTCGCAAGCGGCGGCGTGTTTGCGTTGAGGGGGTCTGCGTGCGCCGGGGCAAATGACGGAGGCGGCGAAGTACAAGAAACTCACCCCCATCGACCATGTCCTCATACGGCCGGAGATGTACGTCGGCAGCGTTGAGACGATCTCCACCGCGATGTTCGTCTTCGACCACGACAAGGGCCGGATGGTGTGGGACACGCTGAAGCTCAACCACGGCCTGCTGAAGATCGTGGATGAGATTCTCCTCAACGCCTCCGACAACCTCGCGAACAAAGGCGCCCGGATGACGTACATCCGCGTGCACATCACGGAGTCGGGGGAGATCACCATCGAGAACGACGGCGCCGGCATTCCCATTGTGCGCAGCAAGGAGCACAAGCTCTACATCCCGGAGATGGTCTTTGGCCACCTCCTCACCAGCTCCAACTACGACGATGCGAGTCAAACCACCGTCGCGGGACGGCACGGGTACGGCGCAAAACTCACAAACATTTTGTCCCACCGCTTCTCCGTCTTCTGCCGGACGAGGGGGAAGGAGTTTCACATGAGTTGGCAGGACCACATGCGTAAAGCGACGGCCCCGCGGGTGTCGAACTGCGATGCAAAGGAGAAGAATGTGACGCGTGTGAAGTTTCTGCCGGATTACGAGCGATTCGGCTTGAGGGAGAATAAAATTTCACATGACATGAAGCGGGTGTTGCACAAGCGTGTCATGGACCTCGCCGCGATGTTCCCAAGCATTGAAATCTCACTCAATGGCACCCCGTTTGGCTTTAAGTCCTTCCACGACTACGCCGTGCTGTACAGCGCCCCAATCTCAGGTGGGGAGATGCCGCCGGCGCCGTTTGTGTACGAGAGCCGCAATGGCGCCATCGCGTTTGTGCCCTCCCTCACTGCCGGCACCCGCCGCGTGTTTAGTGTGGTGAACGGCGTCGTGACGCACAATGGCGGCACCCACTGCAACGCCGCGCAGGATATTCTACAGTCCTCCCTGGAGACTGTTGAGCGGGCGCTGAAGAAGGAGAACAAGGTGATTGACACAAATCGTGTCCTGCGGCACTTCACCCTTCTCGTGTTTCTCGTGCAGGTGCAGCCGAAGTTTGACTCGCAAAGCAAGGCGCGTCTCGTCTCCTCGCCGACGATGCCGCGCGTGCCAAAGCAGGAACTGGTTGAGTTTCTGCTGCGCATGCCGTTTCTCGAGGCGCACGTCAACACCATGACGGGGCAACTCGCGCAGGAGCTGAACAAGGAGATGGGCGCCGGGCGTCGCATGAGCAGCAAGACCCTCATCTCCTCCATCACGAAGTTAGTGGACGCCACCACGACGCGGCGGGACCCAAGATGCATTCGCACCCTCATCGTCACAGAGGGAGACTCCGCCAAGGCGCTCGCGCAGAACTCCCTGACGAGTGACCAGAAACGCTACACCGGCGTCTACCCGCTGCGTGGTAAACTGTTAAACGTGCGCAATAAAAACCTCAAACGCCTTAAAAACTGTAAGGAGTTGCAGGAACTCTTCTGCGCCCTCGGACTCGAGCTGGGGAAGATCTACAAGGAGGCAGACGAGCTGCGGTACCAGCGCCTACTACTCATGACAGACCAGGACGCGGATGGGTCGCACATTAAGGGGCTTGTCATCAACGCCTTTGAGGCGTTGTGGCCCTCGCTGCTTATCCGCAACCCAGGCTTCATCTCCATCTTTTCCACGCCCATTGTGAAGGTGCGGCTGCGGGACAAGTCCACCCAGTCCTTCTTCAGTCTGAAGGAGTTTCACAAGTGGCAGAGGACGCATGCAAACGTGCCCTACACTGCAAAGTACTACAAGGGTCTCGGCACCTCCACCACTGCGGAGGGAAAGGAGTACTTTAAGGACATGGACAAACACACCATGCGGCTGCTGGTGGAGCGTAACGATCACAACTTACTTGACAGCGTGTTTGACTCCCAGGAGGTGGAGTGGCGCAAGGATTGGATGACCAAGGCAAACGCCTACACCGGAGAGGTGGACATCGACCGCAGCAAAAAGGCCCTCACGGTACCCGATTTTGTTCACAAGGAAATGGTGCACTTTGCCCTTGCCGGCAACGCCCGTGCTCTGGCACACGCGGTGGATGGATTAAAGCCTTCGCAGCGAAAAATTTTGTGGGCTCTCTTGCGTCGCTCTAGTAATGAGGCTGCCAAGGTGGCACAGCTGTCGGGGTACATCTCAGAGGCCTCTTCCTTTCACCACGGCGAGATGTCCCTGCAGGAGACGATTATTAAGATGGCCCAGAATTTTACAGGCGGCAACAACATCAACCTGCTCGTTCCAGAGGGTCAATTTGGTTCGCGTCAGCAGGTTGGCAACGACCACGCGGCAGCCCGCTACATCTTCACGAAACTCTCCAGTTTTGCACGGATGCTGTTCCCCAGCGAGGATGAGCCTCTCTTGGACTACGTGGAGGAGGAGGGGCAGCGGGTGGAGCCAAACCACTACGTTCCCATCCTTCCGCTGCTGCTGTGCAACGGGAGTGTTGGTATTGGGTTTGGGTTCGCCTCCAACATCCCCCCGTTTCACCCGCTCGACGTTTCGGCGGCTGTGCGCAGCATGATTAGTGGTGAGAGTGCCAAGGCTGTCGTACGGCGGCTTGTGCCTTGGGCCGTTGGCTACCAAGGCGAGGTACGTCGAGGCCCGGAAGGGGAATTCATCGCGGCTGGAAGTTACCAATACTACGTTGATGGCCGTGTGCACGTGACGGAGGTGCCGTGGACGCTTAGCATTGAGGCCTTCCGCGGCCACATCTCGCACCTCGCGTCGAAGGACGTTGTGCAGCGCATTGCCGACTACTCTGGCGCGAACCACGTTGACATTGACCTGGAACTCACGAAAGGTGCTGTGACGACGTACGCGGAGTGCGAGAGCGAGCTCCTGCTGACGCAGCGTGTCTACATCAATGGGACCGTCTTCTCCCCGAACGGCGTCCTCACCCCTCTGGAGGGTGACCTGGCGCCTGTGCTGCAGTGGCACTACGACCGCCGCCTGGACCTGTACAAGAAACGACGACAGCGCAACTTGGGGATTCTCGAGGCCGAACTCGCGCGGGAGAAGTCGACGTTAACGTTTGTGAACCACTTCCGCAGTGGAAAAATTGACTTTGTCAATGCCACGGACGAGAGTCTGGTGAAGACCTGCGGCAAGCTGGGTATGGTGCGCGTGGACGGCTCCTACGACTACGTGCTGCGCAAGCCCATCACGTTCTACACAAGGACGAGTCTCGAGCAACTAGGCCGCAAGATCGTAGACACCGAGAAGCGCATCGAGAAACTCAAAAAGACAACGCCGGTGCAGCTTTGGCTAGACGAGCTCGACCGCTTTGACCGCGCCTTTGAGGAGTACGAGAAGACTACAGTGGCGTCCATTCTCAAGGAGCGGCGGGTGCATCCGCCGACGGGCGACGTGAACCGGGCCCTGCAGCAGCCGCGGCTGGAGGTGGAGGAGCCTAAGGCCCCTTCCGCCGGCGGCAGAGGGGTCCCAATGCGGGTGAAGGTGCGGAAGTACGCCCCCCCGCCGCCGAGTAAGCGACCCCAGCTCGACGGCGGCAGAGGCGGCGGCGGCGGCAACAGTGCGGCGGCGGTGGTGGCGCGCGTCAAGGCCGCAAAGAGGGCGGCGCGGACGAAGGGCGTGCGGAAGATGCTGTTGGATGTCGTTTCCCAGCAGGTGGCGCGCGCCATTCCGCGGCTGCCGTGGTTCCTCTTTTAGGTCTCGCGGTCGCCGCCCCTTTTGTTGCCCCCCAACCCGATCCAACCCACCCAAGCCCTGCTGATAAAACGCAGCGAACATGAGACGGTGCGGTGTGCAGGAGAAGGGCCGCGGGGCTCTCAAGTGAAGCGTGCACGGCTTCAGGTGGCCACGCGTAGTCTGTGGGTCGCTGGGGGAGGGGCACGCACAATAGAGCATAGAGCGTCGCCCCGTGAATCCGCCGGAGCCGGAACAGCAGGAACCAAAATAAAAGGCGGAAAGCGAAACGCCAAGAAGAAAAGAAGAAGTTAAAAAAAAAACATGAAAACAAAAGGAAAAAATCCGGAGTTACCCATAGAATTACATAAAAGACGAGGAGGAGGAGAGGAGGGGAGTGTTTTCCACGCAGTTGGCTTATTCATTATTATTTTACTTCTCCCCCCGTCTCGTTTGTCGGCCGGTGGGTGTGGCTGGGCGTGCGCGCATTACTCAGCAGGAGAAGACGAGCCCCGCCACCCCTCCCTCCCCCGCACGTGCAGGAAAGAAAAAAAAAGAGGGAAGAAAACAACCGAAAAAAAAAAGAAGCTCGGGCGAGAAATAACGCAGTGCTACTGACGTATTGTTAATTTATTTACACATGCAAGTGTGTGTGCGTGTGTGTCCTGAAACGGAAGAAGCAGGGAGCAGCCACAGTGAATATGCATGCATGTATGCATTGGGAGACATGGTAAAACAAGTTATGGCGCTAGTGACGAGTTCATTGGCTTCCTTTTTTTTTTCTCTCTCACTCTTTTTTTTTTGTTGTTATTTTTACTATTACTCCCTCTCCATCGTTGGCACTCTAACTGCATCTCTGCTGATAGGTTTCCTCCCTCGTCGCTGTGCTGTGTGTCTGCATGCGCATTGACCTTGATTGTGCATATGCTTTTCTTAAAACGAAAAAAAAGTCTTTCCCCCCTCCCCTTCTTTTCTGTGTGTTGTTTTTTTTTGTTGAAGGTCCTATACAGAAGGAGGGAACGCATCGAGCGTGGAGTTGGCCGCGGACTGCGTCCCTCCGTTCCGTTGGCGACGGCTTCCTGTTAGGCCATGGAGTTGGATTCCATTAAGCTGCAGCTGCGGGAACTGCAGCAGTGCTACGACGACGACACAAAGAGCGACGACGACATCATCTACCTCGTATACAACTGGGTGAAGGGCGCCCATGTTGTGGCGCAGCTATTGTTGTTAGAGGGCCGCTTTCCCGAGCTGCGCCGCTGCCTTGACCTCTGTCGAAATGTCCTGGCGGAGCAGAATGTCGGGGTGAGCAGTAGCAAGCTTGCAGGCGCCGGCGCTGGAGGTGGGAGTCGCCGGAAAGTTATTTCCCGCGCCTCCGGGGAGGACCTGTTGCTGATGGACTCCCTCCGTGTGCGCACCTCACAGCTGCAGAAGCAGTACGAGGAGGCCCGCACGAAGACGAAGGGTCGGGATACGCAGTACTACATGAACAAGCTGCTTCGCCCCAGCGACGAAGAGGGGGCGCGGGGCGGCACCGCCGTGGCGGGGGAACGGCGGCCGCCCACCCCACCGGAACGCGGCATCTCGTTTGGCCGCCGCACGCGGCTCAATCGCTGGAAAGTGCCACCCGTTTTGCCGCCCCTCGTGACAGAAACTCGGCCATTTTTTCGCACCCGCATGACCGGGGGCGTCGACGGGCCCTCAGACCCGCCCTCAAGGCACCGCGGGCACTTTTCACGCGCGACGTCGTCCTTGACGTCATCGACGGTTGACGCGGGGCACGACGACGACGAGGCCCCGCCGCAGGGAGTCGAGATGCCGGCGGAGAAGGACTGGCTTGCAGACCTCACACGCGGCGGCGAGCCCGTGGCCTCCACAGGTGTTCCAAGTTACCCAGAGTTGGGGAAGTTGGAGGTCGCGGCGCGCAACCCACCGGCGCCTAAAAAGGCGCCGCGGCGGTGCAAAACCTCCGTGCTTGGAAGCCACGTGCGAGCGCTCTCAGCGGGCCTGAGCACCGCCCCGCTGCCCTCAGGTGAGTTGGAGTATCGCTTCATGAGGAATGTGGACGCGCACGTCATGAAGGCGGCCATCGCGATCAAGGCGGCGTCGGAGGTGCAGCAGCGTTCCGTGGCCGTGATGCAGGCGATGACGGGGCCCTCGTCCCTCTTCCTGCAACAACCGCAACTGCTAAAGGGGGAGCAGCAGGCACAGCAGGAGGGGCCGGAGCAAATGTCCCCCATTCACGATGGGAGCAGTATGGGGAACTGGAAAAGAGGAGCAGAAAAAAAAGGGGAGAGAGATGCCTTGCCAGGGAGTTGGCGCCTTGGCACCCCGTCTACGAGCTCCTTCTCTGTTCGCAGCACAAGGGGTAGGAGGATGTTCTCGTCGAAGCGACAGCGGCGTCCCATATCTCCAATCTTGTCCCCATCCAAGACACTTGGGCACCCTGACCAGCGGAGTCATGAGATGAATGTCTCGGGGGACACGAATGTGTCGCAGAACCTCTCTGCCGAGGCGGTAGAGGATGGGGTCCGTCCCCCTACGCGCTCCACCGGGAAGGACTTGCTAAAGGTAACTGATTTCTATCCGCACCTTTCGCTGGAGGCAAAAGAAAAGTTGGAAGGGATATACGACACCTACAAGGAGAAGAGTAGTGAACTTCGCCTCTCTATGCGGGCCATGCGTCGCAAGGTGAGAGATCAAATTGACATCTTCAAGCCTCACGAGCAGGTTGTGCTGCTGGAGGACCCAGCCGTGTGGAAGGCGCGACGACGAAATCACGCCGCGGCGTTGGATAGCTCTGTGACAGCTGGCTCCTCCGTCTCCGAGTCCTATCTGCTTTCGGTCACGGACGCGCTGGACTCGAAAAGCTTCTTAAACGCCAGTGGTGCCGTCAACTCCGGTTGCCTGCCACTGCCCACGGCTAACGCAGCTGCGACGGCGTTGGAGGAAGCAGCTGCCCCTGACAAGATGGCGGCGCCTTCATCGGAGTCTGTCTTCAAAACAGCTGAGTTGGAGCCCACCACTTCGCGGCCATTTGAATTAGGCTCGGCATCCCGTGGGCAAGGTGAACCAGCCATGGCCACAGGTGAGGCTCGGGGTCGGGACGAAGCGCTTTCCCCTGGCTTTGGCGAGCTCACCTACAGTGGCCCGTCATCAATTAACTGCACACTGCCAGCCTGCATTGATGTGCTGCCCTCACTGCAAGAGCTACGGCTTGCACGGCTGAACTCGTCAACGCACGTGGCGTTTCCTATGGTACACGCGATGGTGACGCGTCGAGCCGCGGCACGTGTGGAACAGGAGAAACGGCTCAAGCAATTTGGCGCTGCCGCACCGCCTCCACGCCTCTCGGTGTCGTCGCAGGGAGCTTCTCGCGAAGCCACTGAGGGTGTCGTGGGCCGCCAGAAGAGGTCCAGCGCCGCGTTAGAGACCCCGTCATTGGAAACCAAACCAAAGTCTCTTGCTGTGGGGCAGAGTGGGAAGGTGGCTGTGGACACGCATGCTGGACAGAAAAGTGAGAGGGGCCACGCGGTGGCGATGCCTCTCTCCTTGGAGGAGATTCACCGCTGCTCCAACTGGGTCATGGAAGACGCTACGCTTGGGATGGGCCTTCCATTTCACTTGGCGACCGTTCGGCTGCAGTGCGCGTGTCGGCGGTTTTTGGCCAGACGTGAGCGCTACCGTCGGGCCGTCGCCGTGGAAGAGTATTTGAGCAGCACAGTTCTGCGTGGGAACAGTGCCATTATCATTCAGCGATACGTCCGTCGCTGGTTGTCGCGTCGGCAGACGTCAACGATGCTGCTGCGCCTTGGCTACCAGATGGATCAGCGGGTTGCAAACGAGGCCATGTACTCGGAGGATACGGGCTCCGACGATGCGGGAAACACAGTTGGGCTGGGGCCTCGCGGGTGGCGGATTGCGCCATGCGGTGCGCCTGTCATGGCGCCGCACAAGAACAGCCTGTCCTTCTCCCCACTGGGGGATGAGTCTGACTCCTTCGACCATCATCGCCGGATGCAACTGTCTCTCTCCCCGGCAGCCTCCTGTGCGTACAAGCTGTACCTTATACCTGTTTCAAAGCGCTTTGAGCAGTCCTCGGCGCGTTGTGCGCGGCTCCGCCGGATTCAGGAGAAAATAGCAAGCAGAGTGATTCTGCGGGCCTTTCGGGATCACTTGCACAGGGCGATTAAGCGTTGGGAAATGGAAACGCGCACCTACATGAATTACGCGACCGGCAGGTTGGCCTTTGGTGAGGCGTTTGGTGTCGACCGGTCTGGCCTGCAACCGCGCGTCGAAGTTGCAGGCCGCACCAGAAGCATCACCGAGAAGACGGCCGCCCTGGACCTCTCACAGGGCATGTCTTTTTGCTCGAGTGTCTTTCCGCTTCCACCGGAGAGGGTGTCGGGCGACGTCGTTGCCGCTTGGGAGGCTCGCACGGCAGAGGCTCGGCGTTGGGGCGACTTCATGACACCGCTGGAGCAGGTGAAGCTCTCCAAGCTGCAGGAAGTACGGCGTAAACGCCAAGTCGCCGAGGCGGTGCAGCACGCCGAGCAGGAGAAATTGCAGCTGCAGAAAGAGGAGGAGCTTCAGCAGCGACAGAGAGTGAAGTTGGATGCCGCGTTGCTGCTGCAACGCTGCGCGCGGGGGTACCGGCTGCGGCAGTGGTTCGCTAAGCAACTGCAAAAGGTGCGTGAAGAGCATCTGTTCTTGCACCGTCGAGCTGAGCTACTTGACGGCAACGCTGCTGGCCCGGCCAACTCACACATTGCCAACCTCGCCAGCAGTTTTTTGCTGTCCTTCTCAGTCATGGGTAAGTCCATTCCTTCAGAGGCGCAGCCGGTTCCACCTGACGTGGCCGCTGTGATCATGAAGGGTATTTACCGTCGCAATCCAATGCGGTTTGGGATCAACGAGGAGGTGCGCCGCAAGCAGTTGGAGGCGGTGGTTATGGTGCAGTGCTTGTTGCGGGCCCGTGCCAGTCTGCACTGTGTGGTGGACCGCTACATCGACCTCTGCGCCATTGTGATTCAGCGACGATGGCGAATTGTTCTCAAGCGACGCAAAGCATTGAAAAAAGGCAAGCGAAAATGTATCATCAACGTCCTCCGGGCTGTGGGAGCCTAAAGGAAAAATAAAAATGAAAAAAAATGAAAAAAAATAGTTGCTTTCCGATGTACAGTGCTCTCATGCCATTAACGTGTCTTGCGCATACACGCACACGCACAAATACATTACAGAAGGGGAGAGAGAGAGAGAGGGAAACTGTGTGCGTGTGCATGTGCGTGTCTTCCTTTTGTAATGTCTCTCTGCACTTGCCTTCGCTGTGCGGTTGGAGTGCCGGGGCGACGGCTCCGCCGCTGCGGAGCCGCGTGGGTGCTGAATATCAGGTGCAATGCTTTTCCTCCTCCTTTTCATCCCCTCATGACCGCCACCCTTTTATTTTTCTGCTTGCTGCTGATGATTCCACCCTTTTTTTTTTCTTGTGATCCGCTGCAATGCTCGCCCGCCGCGGTGGATCGACGTGTGCGCGCGCCGCCCCACCACACACACACACACACACACACACACACACACACACATGTCTGCAGGTGCGAGGTGGGGAAAGTGAGCTCGGGCGGCAGGCCTCCCCGGCGGTGCGTAGAGGCGGCGCGGGGGAGTGCGAGGGACCAAAGCGGCGCGGGAAACGCGGCGAAGGAAGCCGAAGCGAAGCGAGAACGACGGGCACCGCGGTGACTTCTGCGGATGCACCAGAGGACACTGCGCCGGCTCCAGCAGGCCGTGCAAAACCCCCCCGTTGGTTCGGCGAACATCCCCTCGCCCTACGCGACGGAGGGCGGCCACGTCCCGATCTGGTCGATCGTCAATGGGTTTGTGCAGAAGCGCAACTGGGTGTTCCGCAACCCGGAGTGGTGCGACCTCTGCAAGGAACCCGTGGCGCTCTGGGTCAACCACCACGGGCGCAAGGATCACGCCTTGCTGGACTTGCACTACACGCAGATGATGGAGTTTCCACGCCGTTGGAACCCGGAGGAGCTTCTCGCCGTCTTTGTGGATGAGTTGGGGCTCCCGGTGGAGGCGTACCAAAGGTACTACGGCGGCTACGAGCGCGAGCACCGCAATGAGCTCTACGCCATGCTTGTCACACTAGGGGAGGAAAAGATGCTTCATTTTGGCGAGCCCCGAGATACCTATTTGCACCGAATGCAGGGTGGTCTGCGTGGGATGGACCACCAGGGTGCCTTGGTGCTGCACCGGTACATCCTCGGCCCCTTCATGCGCATCTACCCCAACGGCCACATTCAAGACTTCTCAAACCTGGTGGACTTTGTCACGTGTGCGTACAACATGGAGACTGTCTATGACTTGTGCGGCTTCTACACCCTGGACAAGGTCGCCTTGAAGGCGGATTACAAGGCAACCTCCCCCGCTGCATTGGGCCTGGGAGGTATTGCGGTGCACTCGTCTGCTTCGCACGGCTTCGTGCAGCAGGCGGCGGAAACTCCCCCGCAACCGCCGCGGCAACAACGCAATGCGGCGGCAGGGACAAGCAGTCGTAGTGCAGCTGACATGGAGGAGGAGGCCTTCTCAAGGAAAGCGGTCTTTGTTCGGCAACTGTTGGGCCAGCTCCGGTGGCTGACACTACCAGGCGAAGAACACCCCGCCGGTCAGACCTTTCCACCGCATTTGATGCTGCTTGGGGAAATATGCCTCAAGTCGCTTGTGGTGGAAATCATAGCGGCGCGCCTGTGTGAGTACATGGTGCGGGTGGAGCCCGTGTGGCGCGATCACGGTTACGAACGTGTCAAGCTTAACGTGAACAAGATTATGCAGCGGCAGAGTGACATTCTACCTGAGCCTGTCAAGTTTTTCTACCGCCCCATGTCGCCGAATCTGGATGACTTCTACGGCACTAAACGAGGCCCTCTCGACGAGGCGCTGGAGAAGGCTGCGGTTGCGCCAGTCTCTGGTAAGGCTGCTTAGGCGCACGTCTGTTTTTGCGACGGTCGGCCCGTTGTTTGGGCTGCTGGAGGTGGGGGAGGGGGTGTTGCGGTGGCGTGTGGTGTCACCGGCGACGGTCAATGCGTCTGCGAGGGAAAAGCAACCAAGAGGATGAAGAGGCGGATACTGTTACTTCTGCACCCCGGGATAGCAAGGGGGAGTGTCGTGTTGCTGGCTGCCTCCAAGCTTATCTGCATAACTGCGCGTGTACGTGCGCGCTCTTCTGCATTGTGTTCCCTTCCTTTCTCTCTCTCTCTCTCTGTGTTGCATTCGTTGAGTTGTGCCCCTCTACACACACCCACTCGCGTGCGTGCAGGCGCACAACGGGGAAGTCGGGAACTGTCGTCCCAGTCAAATAAATGCCGACACCACCGGCAGTTCTGCGGGGCTGCGTGTTGTCGCGGCGGGCATTTGTTTGCCCATTAGTGCCGCGGGGTGGCAGCGGCGGCGCCGCGCAGGCCCTTCGACCAGGACGGGGTCATCCTCCGCTGCGCACGCCGGCGGCCTCCATGCACACGCGCCTGGCAGGGGGCTGCGGCCATCCGTGCCAAGGGCAAAACTCCTTCGAGACACACGCCGATGGCTTCAGCACACTTTTTACGGCGTCGGCACCCGCCGCCGCCTCTTCTTCCTTCCCTTCGCCGTCGAGCGGTGACGAGGGCGCCGTGGCATCTTCACGCACCCCACCGCCGAGGCATCGTGTGTCGCGGTGGTTCTTTCCTGGACTCACGAGGGAGGAGGAGCAAATTGACGGCGTCGGGCCGACCGCATCGAAACCGGCGGCGGCCTCGGCGTCCAGTGAGGAGGCGGGAGAGGCATCGGCGGAGTTGCGCCGCGTGATCGGTGCGGAGGACGGCGCAGCACACACGCCGCAAAGCGCACCTGCGCCCGCGCGCAGCGGGCACGGGGAGACGGCAGCGAGTACCGCCACAGACACCACGCAGTCTCAGGTGCCAGCAGCAGCTTTGTCGCTGGATGAAGCTCTGCCCTCGGCTTTTTGCGAGTACGAGGCGCGGCGCAACCACCGCATCAAGGCAGTTTTAATGGCCACAATGGGTGGCGCCTTTGCAAAGGCCGGCACGGATAGCGATGGGCTCCGCATGAGTTTCTCCGCCGCTTCGGCGGCGGCGGCAAAAGAGGCCGTTGGGCTTCGTCGTATGTCGTCCAAGCTGCTGTTGTCATTTCTCTCCTGCCCGGATTCGGCCTGGAGTTGGGTGGACATCACGGCGCACCCGACGGCCTCCCTCGACGAGTACCGCGGCGCCCTGTCGGAGGTGTTGATTGACCTCGGCACACACGAGACGCTCGTCAGCGACGCGCTGGAGCCGATGCTGCTGCCGCAGACAACCGTGATGCGTGGGTGTCACTGTCTGGTGGTCCGCTACGCAGAGGATGCGGCGAAGGCCTCCATGGACGGCTTTCAGGATCTTACCAACCGCCTCACCATCTTTGTGACCAACAAGCGGGTGATCACGATACACCGCCTGCATTGCGTCTTCGTGGAGAAGATTAAACGGAATTGGACACAACTAATGAAAGAGCGCGATAAGGCCTTCCTTCTGAGTCTTCTTGTGAAGGAGGCTGTGGACACGTTTAACACCGCCCTCGCCCGCTGCATTGTAGAGTTTGACGGGTACGAGGGAAGCCTCTTCTCCTCGGAACGCCAGCGATCCACGCTGGCGCGCCAGATCTATCACATCAAGCGTCGTGCATCCGTGTACACTCGAACACTGAGCCTCATTGGTGACGCCTACAGTCAAGTGTGTGGTGCTCTTCCCGTCATGCCCAACGACGTGCAGTTTCAGGATGTGCAGCAGGATATCGCCCACGTACGGTCCTTGTCCGAAGAGCTGCTCAACAGCGCGGATTCGGGGCTGCAGCTTCTTTTCCAGCTTTCTTCCTATCAACTCAATGAACTCATGCGGGTGTTGACCATGTTCAGCGCCTTCTTTATTCCACTTAGCTTTGTGGCGTCCATCTACGGCATGAACTTTGCCCACCTGCCACTGATAGAAGACAAAAATGGTCATAAGTACTGTATTGCGATGATGGTGGCTTTGGGGGGCGGCCTTGGTGGGTGGTTCAAGTTTAAGCGCTTTATGTGATGTGGGCGGCGGCTGTGGGCGTGGGGACGCAGCAGAGTTGTTGCTTTGTTGTTGTCTTGACGGCCGCCGTCGCGGCGGCCGAGCACGCGGCCCGCGAAACGGGGAGGCGGGCAGTGTCACAGTAACAAAAGATATGCCACTGCATTACTGCAACAACAACAACAACAAAAGTGAAATTGCCGTCTTTAGTGTGGAATATATATATATATATAGTGTGTGTGTATGTATTTATATGTATATATGTGTATATACATAGAGAGAGAGTGAGTGAGTGAGGAGGCCGAGACTCGGAAGTCCTGGCAAGCTGGGAGTGGCCCGCGCATGCTGATGACGAATAATAGCACTAATGCGGGTGATATTATAATATACACATATATATATATATTATTCAGGCGGCGCCTCTTTTTCGGCAGGTGTCCCTCCTTCTTGCTATTATTACCCGTTCCTGTTTGCCTCCTGCCTCTGCGACCCCCTCCGCTCCTTTCTGGAGGGGGTGCAGGCGCAGGAGCCGTCGGGGAAGGGGGAAAAAAAAGAGAGAAAAAACAAAACAAAAAAACTCTGAAAAATTGTGGGCGCTCATAGGGGCGGAGCGGGGCTGTTCGCGACCGCTGTGACCGTGGCGCAACTGCCGCTGTGCTTTCATTCTTCTTTACCATCCTCTCCCTTTTTATTTTTTTGTTTTTTTTATTTTCGTGCCTCTCCCCAGGCTCCTTTTTGTGCGTGCGTGGGCTCAGTCTGGTTTGCTCCGCTTCTTTATTTCCATCGTCTTTGTTTGCTGGTTTGTTTTCTCTTCCTCTTCCTCCTTTCCGCACGTCGGAGGGGAGTGGCGGTGCACGAGCGCGTGGGATTGACCCACACACACACACACACACACGTGCTGGAGGCCAAAGGAAAAACGGCTGTGGCGGAGAAGAGCAGCGACGACGGAGGAGCTGCGATGGAGCCCGCGGTGAAGGAGAGTGTCTCTCGCATCCCGCTGCTGAAGACCAAGGCGGGCCCGCGCGACGGCGAGAAGTGGACGCAGCGCCTGAAGGAGGAGTACGCGTCCCTCATCCAGTACGTGGAGAACAACAAGGCGAGTGACAATCACTGGTTTCAGCTGGAGAGCAATGAGGCCGGCACCCGGTGGTACGGCACCTGCTGGACCTACTACAAAAACGAGAAGTACGAGTTCAAGGTGAGTTTTGACCTCGCCGTGGCGTATCCGCAGGCCCCGCCGGAGATTGCCCTGCCCGAGCTGGAGGGCAAAACGGTTAAAATGTACCGCGGGGGCAAAATTTGCATGACGACGCACTTCTTCCCGCTGTGGGCACGGAATGTCCCTTACTTTGGCATCAGCCACGCGCTTGCGCTGGGCCTGGGGCCGTGGTTGTCTGTTGAAGTACCGGCGATGGTAGAAGAGGGTATTCTAAAGCCGACCACTAAGAACTAGTGGCGGGCGAACGCACACGAAGCCAAACGAGCATGAGGCGGAGAGTATTTTTCACTGCATCAAGGTCTTGGGTGGGAGTGAAGGGCGCTGCGGCCGGAGCGGCACTTTTGCAGCAGGCCGGAGAGTAATATATCTGTGTGCGCGTACATATATATATTCTTGTTTGCTTCCTCGCTTTCGGCGCCCATGCCTCTTATGGGTAAAAGATCTGGGAGCGTTTGTTATTTGCTGTGTATCCCATGTAGACTTTTCCTTCTACATCTTGGCCTTTCCTTTTTTTTTCTACTCCCATATATATATATATATTTTTCTTTTCTTTACTATTTTCGTTGTGGCTCAAATTCTCGCTTGCTGGGCAGCTAACGTTGAAGAAGAGCAAAAGGGAGCAATGGGCTTTGAGTCCGAGAGCTTTGGAAAGGCCTACACCTATGCCACGGCCTTCGTTTGCGGCGTGTCCATGATGCTACCCATTAATGCCATTTTCTCTGCACCGTTGTACGTCATGAATTACTACCAGTACGTGATGCAGGACCCCGACGCGGAGGCAACGAACAAAAACTTCTGGGACAATTCCCTGACGTATTACACTATGATTGTTTTGGTCACATCTCTCGTCGTGGAGCCGCTAACTCTAAGCAAAGCATTCCGGCGTATCCCGCTACGGGTGCGTATGTTGTCGGCGCTGTGCATCTTGTGGGCTGAGATTGTCATTCTGATGGCGGTGCCAGCTGCGGGCTCGACGGAGACAGGCGCCATCGTCACGATTGTGGTTGCTGCTTTCACCTCAGCAATGGGGAAATCAGTCTTTGAGTCGACGACATACGGCCTATTCGGTGCGTTTCCCCCTCGCTTTATGGTAACGTTAATGGGTGGCATAGGCGTGGCCGGTGCCTTGACGTCCACCTTGCAGCTCGTTGTGAAGGCAGCTCTCCCTGAAAACTACGATGGGATTCGCACGCAGTCCAAGATTTTCTACGGGTTGGTGGTGGCCATCCATTGCGTCACGTTCATCATGTTAATTCTGATTCAGTGGGTCCCGTATGCTCGGCGTTACACCGATTCCCTGAGCGGCGCCGCGCATGAACCTGAAAATGAAGGAGCAGAGACAGCGGCGGAAGCGAAGGCGGACGCACCCTCTGAAGTTGAGATGAAGTCTGCACGGGAGGAGTCGCACGCCGATGAAGATGCTCACTCCGAGGGAGATGCTCACGCCAATGGTGATGCTCAAGCCGAAGATGAGCGCCTTGCGCATACGAACATCCTTTACGTGTTGAAGCACGTGTACCCGATGCTGATTGCGTGTGCCTTCAATTTCTTCATTACCCTTTACCTCTTCCCAACGATTGTGGTCTCCGTGGATTCCTCCGACTATTGGTATGGCACCGTCGCCGTTGCCATCTTCAATTATATGGACGTGATTGGGCGCTTTGCTCCCTCGCTGAAGTTTTTGTGGCCCCCGCGCTGGGCGGTGGTGGTTGGGTCCTTTGTCCGCGTCATATTCGTCCCACTCCTCATCCTCTCGTCGTATCACTACATCCCGTCCTTCGCCTTTAACTACGTCATGATGGTGCTGTTTGGCCTGTCGAACGGCTTCATTGGGGCCCTCACGCTGACCCTCGGGCCGCTGTCGGAGGGGCTGACGACCACCGGCCAGCGCTTCGTGGCGGGGACGATGCTCGGCATCTCAATCCTCACTGGTGGAGCAATCGCCACGGCGCTGAGTGTCATGACCCAGACGCTGCGCGGGTAGACTTTGCGTCGGGTTTGCCACCCACCTCCATTAGGAGTCAAATCCAAGCGACCAGTATGGTGCTTTAATTAAGCATTTATTTAATCTATGAACTTTTTTTTAAGCCGTAAAAAGAAAACGTCTATTTTGTTTTTCGCCTCCTATATAACACAACATAATGAGAACGCCGAAGAGAAGAATAACTTTCTAGTTAAACAGGTTTTTTTTTACCACTCCTGCACACGGTGCAGCTTCCGTTTTTACGCCCGTAGCTCCCTTTCTATACCACTGCTGCATGGGAGACTTGAAAGGCGAGGTCGCGGACGCGCGAGTGTCGTCTGCACGGAGGTTAGCGCCACAGTTTGAGATTCGCTGCTCGCGCGCGCATCCGCTTCAGTGTTAAGTAAGTTGCAACATGGTTGCCCTTCTGCGGCCCCCCGGAGAAGCTGCCCTGAAAGGTTCGGGTATCGGCAGAAGAGCCAAGAGCGCCCCCCGTGATGCATGTCGCCACAACCTTTTTTGTATGCATCGCTTCTTTGTTTTTTTGTTTTTTGTTGTTTTTCTTTTTTATTCCGTTTTGACCTGCGACAGATTGTGTTCATGAGCGTACATGTAGTCATACAGACATATACGTATATTATATTATATTATATTATATACATGTAAGTATATACACACACATGTATATATGTATATGTATGTGTATGTATATGCCTATAGTGCTTCCGCGCCTATGTTCTTCTGCGACGTCTCCGTGCTTAATATTGCACTGTTACTGCTCGTGCCGCATGAGTTTTTTTTTTGTTTCTTGTGAGAAAAAAAAAAGACATGGGTGGGGACAGAATGTGTGCATGTGTGTGTGTGTGTGTGTGCGTGTGCGTGTGTAGATAAGTTTGTCTAACTAGCAAGTTAAGTGTTTGTTTTCTTCGCGTGCTCTATTTATTAGGCTATTTGTTATTTTTACTTTTATTTGTAACCAACTATGATTGCCGCGTTGGAGGCGAGCGACGATGTTTTTCTTCTTTTTTTTTTCCCCACTGGACGCGTGCGTTGCGATACACGCGCTGCGCGACCACGTCCCCGAATGGCGTGGGTGCGTTGAAGCCCCACCCACGCGGGTGGCACCGCCACTTCCGTCTGTGACTGTTGCGCGCCCTGTTGTTTCCTCTTTGCCTGCTTGCACTTCTTGCGTGGTGCCACCTGCTGCCCACGACACGCCACCTGTGGAGGGCTGCGGCCAAAGCGGGGAGGGGGGAGGCCGATCTCTCCCTCTCTGTGTGCGTGCGTGCGTGGGGAAGCGTTAGCAAGAAAGCCCGGTGGTGGTGGTGGGGCGACGGCGGCGAGCTCCCTCTAGTGAAAAACGGAGAAACAACAACAAACAAGCAAACAACAACAACAAAAATAGTTGTTAAGCATGGCGACGATGATTCCAGGACTCCCTGCGGCCTTCGATGTGGAGCATAACCGCATGGAAGACGTTTTTGCGTCCGTAAAGGGCCGTGCTGTTGGCAGGGACGACAACGCACTTTCGGCGGAAGAGGCATGGGTGCAGCAGGAGCTGCAGCACTACGAGAGCCTGTACACGGAGCAGCAGGAGCTTGCCGTCTGCCTCGTCACGTTCAACGCTGCCTGCAAGAAGCCACCCGCAAACTTGTCCAGCCTCATTGCGTTGAACATGACGGAGGACCCCAGCAGACCCGTGGACCTCGTCATGGTAAGCCTTCAGGAGGTTGACATGGGGGCATCCGCCATGCTAAAGGAGGAGACCGAGGCGGCAACACCGTGGATTGCGGGACTGCACGCCGCGATCGGCGCAGACTCCCAGACGGTAGGCAACACCCCATACTACGCCTTTCCACCCAAGCAACTTGTTGGCCTCTTGCTGTGCGTCTACCTGCGGCGTCAACTGCTTCCCTACATGCAGGACATGTCGCTCATGACAGTTGCGACAGGGGCGCTGGGTAGCATGGGAAATAAAGGTGCCATTGGTCTACGGTTTGCGCTGCACCGCACAAGCCTTTGTCTTATAAATGTACACTTAGCTGCCGGACATAGCAACGTCCTGAAACGTAATGCAGATGCAACCACTATATTCGAGTGCATGGATTTTAATGCGCAGAAGCGGCAGGCGTTGATTGCTGCGATAGGGGACGGGTATATTCCGCCCGAGTACATGGATCAAAGCCCGGAACTGCGTCCGCATGATCACGATGTCCTCATCGTCTCTGGGGACCTTAACTACCGGGTGAAACTGAGTTATGAGGAGGCTGTTGAGCTGTCGCTGCGTCGCGACGTCGCGCGGCTGCTGGCGCACGATGAACTGGTGTCCGAATTAACCAACTCGCACTCACCTTGGTGGGGCTTTGTGGATCTCACCCCGACGTTTCCCCCAACGTACCGCTACGATCCTGGGACGAACATCTACGACACGAGTGAGAAGCAGCGTGTTCCGAGCTACACGGATCGTATTGTCACTTGGACAAGACGCAAGTCGCACCATAAGCTGATTCGTCTGGAACGTCTGCGGGCACTACAGGATATACTTAGTAGTGATCACAAACCCGTGCAGGCGCTGCTGCGGCTTCCGATACTCTGCGAGGTGGAGGAAAAGAAGAAGAGTGTCACGCAGTCTTTGCGAGACCGCATCACGCAGGTGGGCTTAGATCGCTCTAGTAGCGCAAAAACGACTATTACCTCGGCCCTACTGGACTTTGGTGTGCAGCAGTTCTACGATTGCGGGGCCCGCAACGTCTTGACCATCACTAACGTGGGGGAATGCGTGGCGCTGGTAAAGGTGCTCCGGCAGCGTAATCAGGACCTCAGTGAGGGGGCGTGGCTGCGGGTGTACCCAAGCAACTTCTCCATCCTCCCTGGGGAGAAAAAGGAGGTGGCGGTGGAGTGCCAGCTGCACCCGCGCTGCATGTGGTGGATGAGCCGTTGGCGTCCCTTTGAAGGCCGCGGCCGACTGAGTCTTTCATCCATGCTCTTGGTGTTCGTCAATCAGGGACCTGTGCACCTGGTGGAGTGCAGCTGCGCGATTATGCCGAGCGTGTTCGGTAACAGCCTGGAGAATATCTCGCTTCTCGGGAATGAGGTGTGTCTCACCGCCTACGGTCTCGAGGGAGACTTGGAGCAGCTGCGCAAGGTGCTTCGGCCGCAGCTGCCAAAGGAACTCTGGTTCCTTAGCGAGGCGATTTACGAGCGTGGGGCACGGCAGCCGGACCTCTTCACGGAGAACGGGTCTGCCGAAACCTGCACGGCAGTCATGCGCCACCTCGACACCCGTTGTGAGCCGCTGCCTGCCGAGTTTGACATTCAGTCTGTGGCCACCTGCTTTATTACGTTTCTTCAGTCGCTGCAGGAGCCGGTGGTGCCGTTTGCGTTGTACGCGGCGGCCATTGCGGCTGGGAAGGCGGGAGGCAGAACACCCCTTGTGTTTGTGCAACAGCAACTTCCCCCGCCGCATGCCAACGTTTGGATCTACGTGTGCGCTTTGCTTGCTTTTCTCTTGCGGCCCGTGAATGCGCGCAGCAACGGGCTCACGCCGAGAATTTTAGCGAAGCTCTTCAGTGACGTGTTGCTTGTGCGCCCAGGCGTCTGGATTCATGACGCCGCCGGTAGCAGAGCACAGCCGCAGAGGGGCATTGCCCCAACACCTCATGGCGTGGTCACCTCGCAGTCGCTGCGCCAGCAGCTGCAGCAAGAGAAGGAGCACGCGATGAGTCTCATCGAGTACTTCCTCGTGCCGCAGCCAGAGTTGCTTCGCTGAGGCGCTGGAACTCACCGTGTGTTGGCTGTGAGGAGTGAATGACGGGGGAAGACGGCAAAGAACAGGGTCACAGGGGGAGCTCTGTGCGTGCGTGTTGTTTTGTTGCTGCTGTTGTTTGTCCATCGCCGCCTCCCACTGTGGACATATATACTTCTGTATTTTTCCTTCTTGCCATTGCAGGGCGCATCCTTATTATTCTTTCATCCCCGAAATGGCACTGTCTGTTGTTGTTGTTTTGTTGTTGCTGCGTGTGTATTCGTGTGTGTGTGTGTGTGTGGAGGGAAACACGAGGAGAGGGAGGCGTGGGGCGGAGGTACGCCTGGGGCACGCCAGGGGCTTTAAACTCTCCCCCTCCAAAAATACCGGCTCTTATTTTTTGCCTGCCTCTGTTGTTGTTTTTTGTTTTGTGTTTTTGTTTACTCGGGGGTGCGTCTTGCCGTCCTTGCAGCTAGAAGTCTTTCCACGCTACATCAGCCATGTCCATGAAGTACCTCGCCGCATACGCCCTTGCGTCGCTGAGCAACCCGACGCCAGGCGCCGCCGATGTGGAGCGGATCTGCAAGGCCTGCGGCATTCAGGTGGAGAGCGATGCCCTCGCATTCGTCATGGAGTCCATTGCTGGCCGCAGCGTTGCCACCCTCGTGGCGGAGGGTGCGGCGAAGATGAGCGCCACCGCCCTTGCCGCCGCCCCTGCCGCCGCCGGTGGCGCTGCTGCTGCCGGTGGTGCCGCCGCCGCCGCCCCCGCCGCCGAGGCCAAGAAGGAAGAGGAGGAGGAGGAGGACGACGACATGGGCTTCGGCCTCTTCGACTAGGCGCAGCAGCAGTGCGGTGCGTTGCACCGGCGGTGTGCGTCTTCTCTGCGAGCAACGGCAACGGCAAGCGTATTTGCCGCCGTGTTCGTGGCGTGAACGACTGGAAGGCATAACGCAGTAAAACTGCCTTGTTTTCTTTTCTTTTTTCTTTTTGTTTTGTCATTTACGAAATAATTCCATCCGTTCCTTCTGCCCGCCCCTGTGCTCTGCGGCGCTTTCTCCTCCATTGGAGAGGCGAGCAACGTGTGCTGCTCTGACCGGCATTTTGCACTTCTCTTTCCCTCTATTTCTCCTTCTTTCTTCTTTTTCGCCTCGCTTTCGTCGTTGTCGCCGCCGCCCCTCTTCGCATGAGTTCCTCGCCGTTTGTCGCGTGAGGAGCGCACGCGCATCTACACACACATATATACATATATACACTATATACATATACGTGTGTCTATACACGTAACATACGTATAACGCATACATACAAGGGAGTGACCCCCCGGCACCCTCGCACACGCACAAAAAGGGGAAGATATTTTTTTTAAAAAAAACACCGGCAGCAGCAAGCCGAAGAGGGGTATCCGCATTGGTTGCTACTATACTCGTGTGTGCGTGTGTGTGTGTAATTCGGCGCAAGTGCAAAAGTTAAAGTAATTGTCGGCTCTTTACGGGGACCACCGCCCCGTCGTTTGCTTCGGAGGGAAGGGAAAAGGGGAGGATTTGTAGTTTTTCTCCCATTTTGAACGGAGGCGTGTAGGGGGCGGCACGCGCCAAACGGAAGTGTGAGCTTCATAGGAGAGACGCGTAGCACGAAGGAAAAGCGAGGAGAGAGGAAAGAGGGTAAAACAAAGCCAGCAGAGAAAGCGCGAGAGTCTTTTTTTTTTTTTTGGTTATTCTCTTTTGGCAACCCACGTGTAGTGCGAGGAGGAGAGAGAGAGAGAGAGGCTCCCTCGTACCAGCGTAGACTGCCACCGGCAGAACGGGGATTCCGGACCCCGATTGGCGCGGTGGCGACGCAATGTGGCGGGCCTCCCTCCACTCCTCAGGGGCGATGGGCAGCACATCGGAGCTGTCGCTGCCGGAGTTTGACGCCATCACGGCAACGCCGCAGCGCAACGTCGAGGGGCTACGGGGGCACATCCGCTGCCTCGTCGACGCCACCGACAATGAGAACACGTTGGTGGCGGCGGTTAAGCTCCTCGAGGGGGAGCGGCAGGGGTTGTCGGAGCCCTCCTTCACCACAGCCGACACGCGCGGGGGCGAGAACAACGTTTTCTCCTCCGCGTCGTCGGCGGTGGCGGCGAAGCTCTCACTCAACTGCGACTCACGCCACTCCGTGAGCGAGTCCACCCCCACCCCGCTCAACAGCAAGGTGAACTCCGCGAACCCGGCGGAGCGACCCCTGCTGCTGCAACAGCAGCAGCGGACGGTGAAGATCGCCGTGGAGGCGGAGGAGGAGGGGGAGGAGAACGTGGACACGGCCGTAAACCGCCTTGAGGCGAAGGGCGAAAAGGAGGCGGAGGTGACTAAACATGTCGTGGCGGAGGAAGACGCCGCATCGCCCCCACGACCGCCTCCGCTCGTACGCAGTGGGGAGCCGCAATTTAACTACGGGCGACGTGCGGCGGTGTCGGCGGAGTCCTTGCCGCTGAATGCCATACAAGGCTACCGCCCGCCGGTGGTGCCAAAGTCGCCTGAGGAGGAGTGCGTCGTCCGGGCCGGCGTCATGTCGTGCCACCTTTTCAGTAACATGGACAGCAAGGATCAGACCATCATCGTTCAGGCGCTGCGGCGCGAGACCTTTGCTGCTGGGACGGACATTCTAAAGCAGGATGGGGCCTCCGTGGAAAAGTTGTTCCTTCTCACACGGGGCTCATGCGAAGTTATCAAAAATGGAAAAATGGTACATACACTGCTTGAGGGTAGCACCTTTGGCGAGATGGAAATGATGTATAACCTTCCCACCTGCGTGGCAACCGTTCGAAGTGTGACCAACTGTGTTCTCTACACACTTGACCAGTTTACCTACCAGCACATTGTGCTTGCTGTCTCGCTGCATAAGCGCAATAAGTACGAGGCGCTGCTGCGTAACGTAAAATTTCTCAGTGCCTTCTCCAACTATGACCGCATGCAAATAGCCGAGGCCCTTGTGCCAAAGTCGTATCGCCAGGGCGATTACATCATACGATTTGGGGAGGCGGGTAAGTGGATGCACCTTATCGTGGAGGGTGAGGTGTCGGTTGTGGGGCGGCATCGCGGCAAGAAGCGGGAGATTCTGCGGCTGCGCGAGGGCGACGTCATCGGGGAACTGGAGTTTTTGTTTAACGAACTCACGGTGGCGGACGTCATTGCGGTCTCGCGGCGGGTCACAACGGCCCGGATTAGGCGCAAGCACTTTGAGTTGATTACGGGACCCATCCAGGACCACCTGAAGGAGTACGTTGCCACCAGCGGCAAGTACACCTACTACCTGGAGGAGGCGAACGCGCAGGTGAAGGCCGAGTTAAGCGTGCTTGAAAAGCGCTCCAAACGCATGGCCAGCCAGGCAGAGCGGGAGAATACGCTGCTGGATCAGGTGGATGTGGGCGGAGAGATTGTGCTCCCCATACCAAAGGAAAAGGTCTTTGCGGCAGAAAAGGGCATTGCCGTGGAGCAAACAACTGAGACGACGGTAAACGTCAAGGACCCCGTCAACGACCCACGAGCGGAAGCGGCCCCGCCGCATGTTCTGTTTCGCTACCCACTGATGCCGATGCATGAGAACTCGTTGGCTATGATTGCCCTCTGCGAGGATGGGTCCATCCTGCGCTGGAACGAGATGATGGTGCGCCTCACGGGCTACACCGCGGAAGAGGCCGTTGGCCAGCACATTTGCTCCTTCCTGCTGGAGACGAAGGATCAAAAGGCGATGCATCAAGCCGTCTGTGATGCAAGACGCTATGCAGGCGACACCGAGGCCTTTTTTGACGAAAAAGCCAGCGGCTTTCGTCGGGTCTACACCTTCGCCCGATCGGACGGCATAACCAAGGTGCAGCTAAAACTTGGTGTTATACCTCCCATCGTCTCCCACGGCAAGGATGCCGCGGAAATCGTCTTGGCTGTTGGCGAGGAACAGAGCTTTGAGTCGCAGCAGGTGCTTGATAAGTCGCAGCTTTTGTTGGACCAGATCAGCGACGTCCTGCGCGACGGCGAGTGCAGCTATGAGGATCGCCTGCGTCGTATTGCGGCGGTGCTGAGCGGGTTTGACTTCACCTGTCGTGCGATGATGGCCTCAACGGTGAATGTGCGGGAGGTGAACATCCGGCAGATGATTGGGCAGGTGATTATGGACTACGGCGCCCAGTGCGTCTCCCGCGGGGTGGCCGTCTGTCAGCGCTTTGAGGGGCTCTACGCGGAAAACGCCTACCTGAATGCGAAGACGCTGCCAGAGTGTCTGCGGTACGCGATGAGCAACTGCGCCGAGCACCTCAGTGGGGCGCAGGTGACAATCACAGTGCGTCCCACGGAGGCCAACGGCACGGAGTTCCTGGAGGTTGAGTTTCACGACAACGGCCCTGGGTTCCCCGTGGAGCTGCTTGACGACTTTTATGACGGGAACGTGTCTGAAGCGACGACGCAACTTCGCCGCGTGCGGGAGGCCATGGAGTGGCAGGGTGGAAGTATGGTCATCGACTCTGTGCCCGGTGACACGAATGTGCGGTTTATAGTTCCTTTTGTTCCCGCGCAAGAAAGGCTGAATGACACCTTGGCGCACCACGTAAAGGCGCTCGACACCTCGCTGAGCCAGATCCATGCGGAGAGTGGCACGATGCAGGAGAGCGCCACCACCTCCGCGAGCAGTTACAGCTTGCAGAGCGGCAGGCGCCTTCCCACTGCAAGGCAAACATTTACGACGGTGGTTGTGGAGGATGTTCCGGCGCATCGTAACATGCTGTGTAGTTTCCTTTGGGAACGCAAGCACGCCGTCCTCCCCGCCTACAACCTTGACGACATTGAGCAGTTGGTTTCTGTGGTGGATATCCTGTTTATTGACCCGCATCAATCCATCTTTGGGGGAAGCAATAACGCGGTTGACCCCATTGCCCTGTTGCGTGAAAAGGCACGCCGCATGGCGGTCGTGGTCACTGCCGTCGACATGGACAAGGACAGTGCAAAGGCGTACCAAACGGCAGGGTTCCTGACGCTTAAAAAGCCATGTAACCCGATACAAGCCCTGCAGTGCATTCGCAAGGCGGAGGAGATGATTTCGCAGTACAAACTCGAGGCTGAACGCATCGCCCAGACGCGTGAGACGCTCTCAAAGAACAGTCGTGGGGCCTGGCAGCGTGGAAAACTGCTGGGGAAGGGCATGTTTGGTGAGGTTTACGAGGCAACGGAGGTGTTAACAGGCGGAAAGATGGCTGTGAAGGAGATGAAGCTGGGGCGACGCAACCTCCAGATTGACCAGTTTGTGAATGAGGTTTCAGCCATGTGCAATCTGCGGCACCCCAACATTATTCATTACTTTTACTGTGAAGAGAATAAGGAGGAAAAGGTGATTCGTGTCTTTATGGAGTATGCCTCCGGTGGAAACCTGCAGCAGCTGTTGAAGACGAAGGGGAAGTTGAATTTCAAGGAATTCCAGTCCCTCCTACGCGACGTGGTGGAGGGTGTGGCGTATATTCACTCCATGAATTACGTGCATGGAGACTTGAAGACGGCGAACGTGCTACTAAGTGCAGAGGGAAAAGGTAAAATAGGTGACTTTGGTACCGCCCGGCACGTTCAAGAGGGTGAACTGCTGTACAAGATGCAAGGCAGCCCGCTTTACATGTCGCCTGAGTGCCTGGCCGCGAGCGACCGAGACGAGGATGGGGTTCTCATCGGATACAGCTTTCCCAGTGATGTCTGGTCGCTTGGGTGCATCGCGTTGGAAATGGCAACGAATAAACCGCCCTTTTCACACCTGAAAAACGTTACCGGACCCGTGGGACTGCTGGCGTACGTCACGAATCTGCACGACACGCCTGACCTTTCCCCACTCTTTGACGGCCCGCCGAGCGTTGTGGAGTTCGTCTCCGCCTGCCTTAACCCGGATCCCTCCAAGCGGGCCACGTCGTCTCAGCTGCTGCAAATGTCCATCTTTAGCGAGACCACGGATGAGGACATGCGGTCGGCCTTGAAGGCGCTGAAGCGGGCCCAGCTGCTACATGTGCTGAACAATTTTGTTGCCTTTGAGGAGCCGGAGAATCAGGAGCGGCGTTGCCTTCAGCCTCTCTGTCGCTGTCAGAAGCAGCGGGAGGCCGAGTTCTGCGACTCCTGCTTTGGCGGCGACTCGTCCGCGGCGGGCGAGGGCGGGAAAGGAGCGAAGAAGAAGAAGGAAGGGGAAGAGGAAGAGGAAGAGGAAGAGGAGGAGGACGGCGGCAGAGACGGCGGCTGCCAAACGAAGGAGGGATCGGCTTCCGTCCGGACGGCGCCGCGACTCCCTCTGCCCCTCGCCACTGAGGACAGTAACGGCGACGGCGGCTGCCACCGCTGCGGGACGCGTAGCCCGTGCGACGCGTCCCTCCCCGCGCGTCGCTCCCGCACGAAGTCCGGAAGTTTGCCGTGCAGTCCCCCCCGCGTGGACGAGGATGTCTTTTTTGCGTCCTCCGCCTCCGCCTTTTCGTCGGCAGGAAGGGAAGAGGAAGAGGAAGGGGAAGGAGAAGGGGAGGCGGCGGAAAAGGCGGAGGCGCCCGTGGCGGGCGAGCAGGAGGGCGGGAACGACGAGAGGGGCAGCGCGGCCGTGACGGGGGTGAAGAGGTGTTTGTCTCACACGCCGACACCCGCGTGGGCGGCGCGACGGGATGATTTTCTTGCAACCTTCGCGCCCACGCTAGGCTCCTTTGCGCTCGGCAACCACTCCATCGCCTTTATGGGGCGCAGCATTGACAACCCGAGGGCGGGTGCCGCCGAGGATCTTGGCTTGCAGGAGGGTCCGCTGCAGGATCCCAAAACGCCACCGCACCGGCAGCCGCAGGAGCCGGAGCCGGAGCAGCGAGCCCGCCACCTGCAGTACGACAACAGTTTCGTGCGCAGGGAATCCACGCAGCCGTTTGGGCGGACCTATCGACGTTTGTCGTCCTCCAGGTTCTCTGCCCCGCGCCCACCGAAGCCGAGAATCAAGAACATGTTTTTGGTGGAGGAGTTCCAGGCGGTGCGAGAGGACACGAACTCGGAATCACCGTCTCCCCGCGCACGCACGCATGGATCGCGTCCACATCGCCCCGGGCGTCTCGGCAGCACCCCACGGCAGCGTCGATTTGCCGTTGCACCGCACTTGGCGTCACCCTCGCCAGCGTCTCCCACGCGGGGAACGGAAGAAAATGCGCGATTCGTGCTGTCGTCCGGCACCTCGGCGGAGGCCGACCCATACTCGTCGTCGCCAGCCCCTTCCCTGACTCCGAAAGGGGTCGCGTCGCTCGGTAGAGAGATGACGTCGCTGCACCACACCGTACTGGAGCTGCTGGAGCGACTGAGAGAGGTCAGTTCACGGGAGGTGGGGGAGCCTGGGCGGTTGCAGTCTCGACAGACGACAGGCGTGTGCTCGTCGCCGAAGAGTTCGGAGTGCCGAGAGGAAGAGGCTGGCGTGGGCGACATCGCGGCGGCGATTCGCGACTTGGTGGGGCGCGTTGAGAAGGAATTTGCGATCTTAAAATCCCACATTGGTATGGTGTGAGTCTGCCTGTGCAGGTGCGTGTTGTGTGGGGTTGCCCTTTGGATGCCTCTGTCCGCCGCTTGCGCGCCCCTGGACCCCGCCGTGGTGTCCAGAGAAGAAGCGTCGTAGCACATTGCAACTAGGCACGGCACAAGCAATCGTGTTTATATATTTCCTTCGTATCCGCTGTTTTTTTTCTTTCCTTCTTTTTTTCTGTTGCTTTGTTTTCGTTTTTCCTATGCTTGTTATTATTATTATTATTATTAATAATTTTTGTCTTCGTCTTGTAGTGGATCTATTTGTCGTATTTTTTCTTCGCTCTCTCTCTCTCTCTGTGTGTGTGTGTGCGTGTGTGTGTGTGTGTATTGGGGGAGCGGGGCGTCCATTGCACCGCTGGGGATGCACGCTGCATGCGTGCCTCCCGCCTTCTCTCGTCTGGGCGCTCTCTGTGTTTGTCTTGGCCAATTCTCTCGCTTCTCTTCTCCCTGCCTCTCTCTTCGTGGGGGGCCGCCGGGCATACAGGCATCCCCCCACCAGCAGCGAGAAGAAAAAGAAAAAAAAATAAGAACAACAGTAATGCGGCGGTATTTGTTGTTGATTTTTTTTCTTTTTTCGGTTTACTGAGATTATGGCCGTGTAAGACGTTGCTGCTCCTTTTTTTTTTTTTGAATTATTATTGTTCTCCCTCCCGCTACTTCGACGACGACGACGACGGCCGTGTTTGTTAGATTACTTTTAGGGCGTCAAGGCAGTTACAATTTGGCGACCGCCGCGACGAGGACGACGGGGGAGACCGCGTGAGGAGGGATGGCGAACAGGTGCGGCCCGCTGAGCGCGGCGGCGCTGGCCGGCGCGGCGGAGCATGCGGCCACGACGCCTGGCACGGAGAACGCCGAGAGCGTCGGCGGGTCGACGTACGCGGCGACGGCGGGGTCCACCACCAGCGAGGCGGCGGGAGGGCGGCCCACCCGCGTCGTTGCCCGCGCCATTGAGGACGTCATGCGCTCCCTCGAGCACGCGCGCGTCTTTGCGCACAAAAACTTCTGGCACGAGGACGAGTCGTATGAGACGTCTAGCTCCTGCATGAACGTCCGCGCGGAGGACGGCAAGAAGGTGTGCCACAGCCTGGTGCCGGACCCGGTGCTCGCCAAGGGCCTCCCCACCCACGACGAGGCGGAGATGCTCGCCTTTCTGCAGAACACGGAGCATCTGTACCTGCTGCGGCCGGAAGAGATGCGGGAGGCGGCGCGCGCCTCCCTGCGCCGCGAATATCTGCCGGGGGAAGTTGTGCTTCCAGAGGGCGACCACACACTGCACGTTTACATCGTTGTGTGCGGGGAGGTGGAGGTGTTTGCCCCCAACAAGGAAGACACGGCGGCGCATCACGCCTGGACCCGCACCCAGCCCAGGGCTCATTCACAGGGGAAAATGAAGAAAAGTTGGTCCTGCAGTGCGGATGGTGAATACAACTTTTTGGATTCCTTCCGCGCCGGTGATGAGCCGGACACGTCGCGGGTGCCGCTAGGCTCCGGCTCCTTCTCCCTCCAGGAGGAGTACAAGGCCATGACGCACTGCGGCAAGGTGAAGCCAGGGATGCTGTTTGGCCTCGAGCTCTGCGTCCTCGGCGACCCCTCCCCGCTGCGCTACGTCGCTGGCCAGGCCTCCAACCGTACGGTGCTGGCGCTGATTCCCCTCCCGCTGCTGCGGCAGCTGCTGGAGCAAAACCCGCCCTTCGCCCAGAGCGTGGGACGGCGCGTCGGCGAGGGCGATGTGTTTATTCCGGTGCGTGAGTTCTGCCGCTACGTCTTTATGCCCTCGGCTGCCATGAACGAGTACCTCCCCCTCTGGACGATCCTTGACTGCTACACAAAGATCGAGAACGTTATCCACACGAAGCTGAAAAGCAACGAAATTGATGCGGCGGCGTGGGGCTACGCCTTGAGGCGGCTGCCAGAGAATGTCACCACGACGTTCTCCTTCAACCTCGTGGTGGGGCTGCCGCCGTTTGTCGCGACGCGGATGCGTGAGGAGGCGAAAAAGGCGGACGTTCGTCACTACTTAAAGAATGCAAAGAATAAGGCTCCGGCAAACAGGACCGCCGTCACCTACATCCGCACCAAGGAACGCCGCCGCTGCACGTGGCAGCTGGGCATGGAGGGAAAGGCCCTAGTGCTGCTGCGTGACGGCTACACGGACCTGCTCGACTTTCTCTCTATGCTCTGCGTGCACATCATTGAAAGCAACAAACTCCGGGGTCGTGTGCAGGGAATGGTGCACCCGCCAGCCATCGACGTCCTGGATGAGTACCTGCAAAACCGTGAGGCCGATGAAAGTGCAGGAATCGTGCGTGATAAAGCCGCCGAGTTGGAGCGCGTGCGGGAGGTGTTAAAACACTTGCCCTTGACACGAGAGGAACAGAAGGGGCTTCTGGAAGTCTGGCAAACGGACTGCCTTGTCAAAATATACGAGGTGATGATGCATCGAGAGGAGTTCAACGTCCGCGTGGATCCAAGCGTCTCCCGCAGGTTTCAGACAAACCCTTTTGTAGAGTGGGCACTTAATCTACGTGCCTGCATCATGCAGCAGATGGGGATGGGCCGTAACTGGGCCCCACCGGATGACCTTTGCATTGACATTGTCAGCAGCAACACACACTGCATCAAGAACCTCCTGTCAAGCTTCCATCGCAAGCAACACGAGGTTATGGAAGAGTATGCAAAACGTGATAAACGACTCGGCTCACTGGAAAGCTGGCACACGCTAGAGGATGCGTTGTATGCCTCAACCACCGGCGTCCTCTCCACTGAGCGCACCGACCTCATTGATGAGTACGCCAAGGCCCTTGAGGAGAGTGGCATCATGGTTCTTGCGGACACTGCCATGACGGGACTTCAGGTGGACATCATCCCCGTGCATGCAATAAACTTTGAGACCATTGACTCTGTCATTCGCGGCTCCCTGAAGAGGCACTTTAGTAACAGAAAACGCCCGAGCTCCACAAGCTGGTCCCAAGTTTGTAAGCCACGCGCCTCGTCGATAATACTTCCAGACGGTGCTTTTCCTTCCTTTCTGCAAGACCCCCAAACCGATGATAGCCGCTTGGATCGGCACTTCATAATCAACATGGACTTCGCCTTTGGGGCTCAGGCTGAGGGCATCTGCAGGGCCATATTCAGCGTCTTTGGGCAGCGAATTCGGAGCGTAAATGTGATTGGGAAGGCCGGTGGGTTTATTGGGAAGCGTGGTGACATTCAGCTTCCCAAGGAGGTACTTATGTCCAAGTCTGGACTTCTCATGGAGGATCAGCAGGACGAGCTGCGCCGTTGTCGTAACCAAGGCCTCACGGCGGGACGTCTGCGAGAGCTGGCGGGTCCAAAGGTGTCGGTGCATGAGGGGCGCCTTCTCACCATAGCAGGCACGATGCTACAAAATGTGCGCATGTTGGAGTTTTATAAGCGGATTTGGGGTTGTGTGGGGGCCGAAATGGAGGCGTCGTACTTTGCCCGTGTGATTGAGGATTTCCACCGCCAAGGAATCGCAAACCCGGCGCTGGCGACACGTTTTGCGTACTACACGAGTGATTTGCCATTGGAGGGCCACAACACAAGCGGGGCCGCGGGCGCCTCCCTCTCCGCCCCCATGACGTTGGGCGAGGGCGTTCCACCACTCTACGCCATTGCGCGGGGCATCGTGGAAAACATCCTCCTCCACGACTGAGGGTGTGGGGTGGCGGGGTGGGGGACGTTTCCGGGAGAAAAAGAGGTCGAACAAAAAGAAGGGGGAAAAAAGCAAGGTGGGGAATGGGTGGTAAGATGGCAAAGGCTATCCTGCCTGTTTTTCTGTTGCCGCCTCCGCCACTCCCTTTCTGGAGGCTATTGTGTACAAACCTTTTTGTTGTTATGTCTTCTTTTTTTTTTTGTGTCGGCGTTTATGTCGTTGGGTTTTTTTTTGTTTGTTTTGCTGTTTTTTTTTGTTTCTTTTCTTTTTACAGTGTGCCTACTACGTTTTTTTTTTTTTTAGCTTCTTTGAAGATGACGTCATCCGCCCCTTTTCACCCGCACTGCCGGCGTGCGTGTTTGTGTGTGTGTGTTTCAGTGTGTGCGTGCGTGGATGCCTCGCCATCTCTTCTTCTCTCGTTTCTTTGCTTTTTGTGCGTGATTGGTCCCCGCGCAGGCCGCGCCTGGCGTCGTGAGCGGCTCCCGCGGAAGGGCCCCACGATAGCGAAAGGGGGGCAGGGGAGCGGCGTCGTGGGAGGAAGGGAGGGGGGATTTGCTCCAGTGGCATCACTCCTTTTTTTTTTCTTTCCGCTTTCTTTTTAAAGGCTCCTTTTTTCTTCTTCCGCCGAAGTTCTCCGCGGGCGTCGCCCGGAAATGGCGCTGCTGCATCATCGGTGGTACGACGCGGACCTCACCGCCGTGGCGGAGGGGGGCAGCGGCCTCCGCGAGACGCGCATGTCGTGGTCCCACACGGACCCGGCAGGGGAGGAGACGGTGGCGGTTCTGCTGCTTGCCGCACCCGCGACCCTCCAGGAGCCGGCCGATGGCGATGGCGGCGTCTATGCGCTGAAGGTGATCCTCTTCGCCGCCGCGGAAGCCGGCAGCCAAGGCGTTGCGGGCGAGGAGGCGCCAAGGCAGGAGGTGCACAACGCGGTCTTTGAGCTGCACGCGCCGTTGGATGTCTCCGTCGTGAAGGGGACAAGTGGACTTGTCTTCGCCTCAACGCGGCAATTCTTCTTTCATGCCACTGCCGGGGGAAAGTCACTGGACCGCTTTGTCTTCCTTCCCGCCGAGAAGACGTGGGAGCGGCAGCGTCACGCGCTGCAACCGTTAGATGCGGTGGAACCCGTGCGTCGAGTTCTCGCCGAAGCGAACGGCGACAGTCAACCACAACTCCTGCTGGTGGCCAGAAGTGGTGCCCCACCCGCGCCAGCATCACTCGCCGAGGGCGATAGGGTCGAGATGCTGGTGGTGGCGTCAAGGCGGGCGGGTGCTGCGGGGAGCTCACAAGGACGGCAACGCACGATGGTGACTGCAAAAAGAAAGGCATCCGCCTCGGACCCGCCGGCGACGCCATTGTACACCTTTGTGCTGGCGGTGGTGCGTTGCACCGTGCAAGTCACGCGGGTGGCGGTGGCAAACTGGGAGTTGTTGCACTTGTGTGTGGACCGTGGTGTGCCCTTTCAGCAACACCAACAGCAGCGCCTTGGCGGGCTGCAGACGTGGACCAACGGCGACAGTGAAATTCATCCGGGAAGGTGCACTTGGTGCTATATATCTTCTCCCAACGTCGAGGCCGCAGAAGTAGGAGGAGAAGGAGAAGGAGGACAGGCAAACAAGAAGGCCACGGAAACGAGCAGGGCAGGTGGCGTTGTTGTTGCCCTTGTGCCACAGCCCTCCAGCGTGGTTACGGTGGTTTGCGGTGGATTTGATGCGAAGTGTCACGCGTATCGTCTTGGTTTTGTGGCCACTCCAGCCACCGGAGGCAGCAGCGTGCCACAGCATTCCGTGGAGGACACGGATAGTCCCGAGGAGACGCTCTGGAGTCTTTCAGAGGATACGCACACGGTGCAAATGATGCTTGTGGGGGCACCAACGACTTCACTGCGTGGGTCAGAGGCGACGGACGCGAGGAGAACGACGCCACGTCGCCGCGGCCAACACGTCTGTGGCAGTGACAGCGCTTACGGCACCGGCTGTGCCAGCAGTGGTGAGGGATGGATGCGACAGGCGGGCTTGTCCAAGGTGCTTCGCTTCGTCGTGGACTTCCTTGACGACGGGATGGGCGGGGTCTCTGCCGATCCTGCGGTTGGCAGCCGAGGCGGTCAGGGCTTGTATTTTGCCTCGGTGGCGCCGTGGTCGGCGAGCCGGCAAGGCCGCTTCCCCATCCCACGCAGTGTCTGCTGGGTGGACACTGCCCCGCTGCCCATTGGAAAGGCGCTTACCTGCATGCTGCTGTTTCCCGCCAGCGATGGCGCGGAAAAAGGCGACGGCGACGTGACAGCCATGGATGCCGCCGTAGACGACGAGGATGCCGCCTCGTGGTGCCACACGCTGCCCACCTCAGTTGCCTCAGCGCTCCCCGTGGCCGCAACGCATGGGACGCTTCGGTGCTTCCTCGGCGTCAACGTGCTGCTGAAGAAGACGCGTCTGACGTACGTACTCGAAGTAGACGCAGCGGCCCAGGCGTCCAATCGTCGGAAGGGAATTCGGCCCACGGAGTGGTTGTACACGCGGCCACGGGCTAGGAAAAGCCTTCTTCATGAAAACACTGAGGAGGAGGAGGAGAGACAGGCGGCCTGTCTTGCGCGTTATGCCGCCATGCAAAACACACGCCCGTCAGCGGTAGATGGGCTCCGCACAACGGTGTTGCAGGACTCCTTGCTAGACAGAACGACTCCAGAGGCTGTGGTGCACGCGGCCTGGCGAAGCGTGGGCGTGGGAGGCTGCGCAGCTGCGAACATGGCCGCCCTTGAGAGGGTTGCACAGGGCACAGGGGAGAATCCCACGCAGGAGGTGCGTGCATTGGCCAACAGGCTTCTTCAGTTCCTCCTGACCTTTCTCGTGGAACTGGACTGGATGACGCACACCGACAACGACCTCCTTCGCGGGGTGACGTTGCTCCTGCTTGGGGCCGTCGACACGAAAAAGGCATCTCCTGACCGTCGCGAATCGTCACTGCGCGATGGGGCCTCGCTTGTTTCTCGCCTCGCCGCAAACGAGCGACGCAGCATGCATTGGCTCCTAAGCCACAGTGAGCGGTGGTCGCCACTGGCAGCGGCGCTCTTCGCTTGGGTGAATCAGGGCCTCATCCCCGATGCGAGTGAAGCAGAAATTCTCCTCGAGGATGTTGTTCAGGCGTGGGAGGAGACGGCTGCTTGCCCGCCCGGCGGAGGCTGTGCGCTGGAGGACATCTTGAAGCGTCTGCGTGCGTCTCAGGATGCGCTCAAGTACCACAATGCCCTGCTGCTTTTGTTGCGCGGTAATCTCTCTCTGCATGAGACTGCCTCGTTTGCGGTATGGAACGACGTCGCCGTGCGAGATCCCTCGATTCTTTTCCTGCAGCTCCTCTTGGAAGCGGCTGTGGCCTGTGAGGATGCCGCCACCGACGCCGCCGCTTCCATCTCGAGTCTGGAGATAAGTCGAATCACGATGTCTGTCGTGCAGGCGCGGCTTCAGTCCGCCGGCACGCTTGCGGCGCTTTTGCAGCTCATGCATGCGTGGAACTTCAGCTTCCTTGCCGATTGGCCGCTTGCCGCGATGTCAGGTGGCTTGCCGGTGGCGCATCTTATTCGCCACCTCACCACCGCCGACAGCAGTGAGGCGGAGCGTGCGGCACACCGCCCCGTCGCCCAGGCGGCGCAGGTACTGCTTTGGTTGTGTGGGGATTGTGTGGAACGGGCGGCGGAGGTGCTGGAGGCGTTGCGTGCTGCGAAGGTCCCGCTCTTGGCGCTCTGCGTAGCGGGGTCCGACAGACGAGGTCGCTTTGGGGTGCCTGAGACCGCACCCAGCAGCAGCAGCAGCAGCAGCAGCGGCGGCGGAGGAGGAAACACCAGTCGGGCGCTGCACCACGTTTTGGCGTCCTCCACAGCCGCTGTTCTGGCAGGCGCCCTCGCCGAGCCCGGCGGCCGTGGGCCCACCGACGACACCACCAGTGAGGCGTTTGTCCTCCAGTTGTGGATGCGGGTGCTGGAAGGCGACGAGGCGGCGGCCTTCAATCCCGGTCTTCTGCAGCGGCTTCATGAGGCACTGGTTGTCGGCGGCCGTGGCGCAACGCGTCCGAAGCACGTCTGCGGCGCCGCACTGTTGCTGGACTTTCTTCGGCCTGTCTTTCTCTCAACCCTTCCGCGCCTCCTCGCCGCGGTGGGAGAACAACACGAGACGGTGGGGAGCGCACTCGCCGCCGGTGCGGCTTCGCTGACGGCGGCCGGCGTTGCCGCCTTGGGGCCGCCGCTGGGCGAGACGGAAACCATTGAACACGTCTGGCTGGCGACGCTGCAGGAGCTGGGGCGACTGCTGCAGCTGCACGTCGAAGACAGCCTTGAGGTTCGATGTCTTGCGCTGCTTTTCAAGGCCTTTGAGGCGTCGTCCGCCACGCTGCTGGCGGAGTCCCGCAGCGGGAGTGAGGCATCGTCAACCACGGGCCTCTGCTTTACCTTTTCCCCGGCGGAAATGTACTTTTTGGCCTTGCAGATACTCTCCAATGAACCGGCAGGCTTTGTGATTAACGTGGAGGTCATGCGGCGACGCCTTGCCCCGTATCTTCTGCATGAGATGGAGCTGGCGACACGGCGCGCCGACGAGGTTGTCGAGACCTCCAACACAAAGGCGCTCTGGTGGGACAGCAAGGCGTACATAAACACTGTGGCGGATGGCCTTGCCCTGGTTATCGCCGCCTTTGAAGCCACGGCGCCGCTCTACTCCCACGCGATGCTGCTTCTCTTCCTTGACGAATCCCTGGCCGTGATGGCGGACGTCGAACGGCGACCCAGCGGGGGGCGCGAGAGGCCGCTTTCCGCGGAAGTGCGGAGTGAGATGCTGCAGTGCACCCGCCGCGTGGCGCTCTCCCGCTGGGCAAAGCTGCACCGGCAGGAGAAGAAACTCATCGCCCGTGTGCTCTCGCGTCGCCTCGCCATTCCTGGCCAGGAGCAGGCTGAGGGGGATGTGTACCAGGAGAGCGATGTGCACCACAGTGTCGCGAAGGATGCGGCCCACATGAAAAAGACCTTACAGCAGAGACCCGTCAACGCGGCCTTGTTGAGGGCCATCAGAAGGAAGTTCTCCCGGGACTCGTCAGGGGCACGGAGCACAAGTCACACTGAGAGCCATGATGATGCGGGGATAGGAACAGTGACGTCTTTGACGGATGTAACACTTCTTCTTAAGGAAGAGACTTATGTACGGCAGTGTCTGCAGCGACAGTTGATGCGCTCGCACAACGCCTTCGTTGGCAGTGAGGCTTTTCGTGGTGCACTGGGGACGCTTTATCTGGCGCTACGGGAGGAGCAGCGTCGGCGTGTGTTTGTTGCTTTTGTGCGTGAACAGCATGACATCATTCTGAGCTTTGCGTGTGCTGCGCTCGTGGTGATGTATGAGGCACGTCGACGGGGGGCGCATGTGTTGCAGCAGAACGCGCTGGAGCATCTGCAGCGTCAGCTCCGCTATTTTTTCCTGCAGGAGCGTGAGTCGCGGGCTGCGGTGGAGGCGGTTTGCCTTGTCGAGCGCCAGCTACTCCTTGAACTCGCAAGCCAGCAACGCGCCATGGCTGACGCCGAGCGCGGCCTGCGCCTGCGCCTTGTGGAGGAGGAAGAGGTGCACCGCGACGCCTGCTACGAGCTCTTTGCGAGGGAGGAGCTGGCGGCGCAGCGGCGCTGCGAGGCGCGGCTGGAGGAGGAGGCGTGGCGCGAGGAGGAGGCGCAGTGGGCGCAGGAGCAGCAGCGGCGTCAGGCAGACGAGGACGGCGGCGACGCGGAGAGGCGGAGCCCGCCAAACGCCTACTTGCAGTGGCAGCAGCGCCGCCTCGCGGCGGCGGCAACAGCGGCGAAGACGTCGACGTCGCTGCCACTGCAGCCGCCGCCGCCGCCCGCAGAAGTCTCACACGCGTCGTCCCTCACCGCGTCGGTGCCGCCCGCAAATGCACTGGCGCCGCTTCTCCAAATGGACAGCGCCCCGGCGATGTCTGCAGAAGACGGCGGCTACCACGCACTGGTGGACGCCTCCGAATCGCTCTTCAGCGCCTTCTCACGGCTGCAGAAGCAAATTATCTCCACCGTGGCCCCACCACCCGCCACAGGCGTCAAGAAGGATGCCCCCGCCCTAGCCCCAGCCGATGTGCCGTCAGCCGCTCTGCAAATGCCTGCGTCCGTCACAGCGAGCGAGGAGAGGTGGGAGGACGCAGTGGAGGATGCCGCGCCGCCCTCAACCCAAGCCGGCAACGAGGCTCAGACGGCAAAAATGGACCACGGCGCCTTGGATGCGCCCCCGAACACCCATGAGGACAGCATCAAGCGCCTTCGGCTGCGAGCATTGGCAACGACGGGTAAACGCCGCGCCCCACGGCAACGGCGTCTTGGCGAGGTGTTCTGCCTAGAAGGCAAGCCAGCCGCGGAAAAGGCGGAGGTGGGGGATGCACGCGGTGCAGCGAAGCTGCATGAAGAGGAGCAGCAGGCGCGGAAGGAGGCGTCGCCGTCGGTGGAGGAGGCCAAGCCGGCGCCTGCGCCTGCCGCGCCAGGCATGTTAAAGAACGAGGAGGAAGAAGAGGCAGTCGCGCTGGCCCTGTGCCCCGAGCCGTCATTGGCCCTACAGTCGGAGGAGGGGACAGCGCGCTACGCGCTCTGCCGGGAAGAGCGAGTGGTGCGTGCCTTTTTATTTCGCTATTTTACCCTGACGACGTAGACGTGTCGAACCGCTTCGGGTTCCTGCTGTGCTGTGAGATGCACAGCTGACGAACAACGGCAGAGCGAAGCACACACAAAAAAAAGAGGCAGTGGCACAGCGGATCTGCTGGCGAGGAAAAAAATTTTTCGGAGGTTAAGTGGCACCGCCGGCACACCGCCGCCTCCGTTGCGCTCGTTGTTTGTTTTTTTGTATTTTTCCGCTGTTGGTTTCCCCATGGTAGTAGTTGTTGCTGTTGGTTATTTTTGTTCTTTTTTTTTTATTATTCGCAGGGAGAAGCTGCCGCTGCCAGCCCCAACTGGGCATTCACCGGCGACTACGGCTGCTGCCGCAAACACTGAAGCGAGGGAGGGGGACGATGGCAACGACGGCAGACTTTGTGGGGAGGAACTGCCCCCACTGCGGCGCCATCGACAGCCTGGAGACGGACGACGCGCTTGGCGAGGTGGCGTGCACGGAGTGCGCCCTCGTGGTGGCGATGGGGCTTGAGGAGAACGCCCTCACGCGGTACGACAAGGACGCCACGTACGAGGACGCCGACAAGCATCGCGCGCGGGAAGACACGACGGCGTCCACGCTGCACGCCCTCTCCGCGTCCTCATCGGCGATGGGGCCGCCCGGCGGGGACATGTTGCCCAAAGTCGCGCTTCACCCGGCCATGCTCAACTGCATCCGCAGCCTGCAGAAGAAGTCGGGGGTGCCGGAGCAGGCGATTGGCCGTGCTGTGAATATTGCGAGGCGGTTTGTCGGTGGACGACGGGCACGCGGTCAGCGTGTTGGGAAGCAGCAGGATGTGGCGGCGGCCTGCTTCATGATTGCGGCGGAGCAGCTGAGCCACCCCGTGCCCATGCTGGAGCTGCGCCAACTTGACCCCGCGATTGGCAACGTCGAGTACCCGCGGGCGGAGATCGTGAAGGAGACCCACATGGAGGATGAGGAGCTTCGGCTGAAGGCCGTCTACGTCGACAACCTCCTCACCGTCTACCTTCGCAAGCTTAGCCTCCAACTCTCACTCTACATGCCGCGCTGCAAGCGGCTTCTGGAGGCGGTGCAGCGGGTCGATGCCCTCCGCAGCGCGGGGGTCGTGGATAAAATTGTCATGTCGCTGCTGCTCACTCTCACCTCGCCGAGCTTTGAAGTAGAGAGAAGGCCGCCCCTGCCGGCCGCCCGCAGCAGCGGGGTTGGCCGCGGCACCGAGACCGTCTACGCCAACTTTGCGGCCAAGGCCCACTTGGATGTTGGCAAGGTAAAGAGAGTGATGCAGACCGCACTACAACACCTGCAGGCGATCGAGGAGGCCTTTGCCGCCACGACAGCTTCCGCGGAAGGCGCACGCACCAGCGCGACAAAGATAGAGGCCGATGATAATAATAACAGGGAGAATAACCCCACGGCGCCCGCGACCAAGCGCATGAAGCTGGAAAAGCCGTAACAATTCATGAAGCGGTCTTATTCTCTCGCGCTCGCTCTCTATTGTCTGGCAGTTGTGCTCTTTGCTTTGTCTGTCCTTTTTTCTTTGTCCTTGATGGTATTTGCAACGTGTTTGTTCCCGTCGTGTGCGTCGTTGTCTGTTCTTGGCGGTTTATTGTGTGTGTGTGTGTGTGTGCGTGTGCGTCTGTGTATGCCACTTTGCACGGCTCTTTGGCCGCGACGGTGCTGGTGTTTCCTTGGATCTTGCTTCGACGTACTTCTTCCTTCACGCTCCGCCCCTCTCACCAACGCACACACACACACGCACGCATGTGTTTCTCACGCACTCACTGCCGTAGTAAAGGGAGAAAAGAGGAACACGTAAAAGGGGCGAAGAAGGCAGCCGCGACGACGAAACAAGTTATGCCGAAGTTTGTTGACCCGGTGCATCCCAAGCTCGAGGACCACGAGGAGGAGGATGAAGAGAGCTTTGACCTGGTCGCCGCGATGAATGAGATGACGGCGCACGAGCGCCGCAGCGTCTATGCGCTGAAGGGTCTGCTGAACGAGTACAGGAGCGTCCACGCGAAGTTCCGCGAGGAGCTCGCGGCGCTGCAGGTTGAGCACCAGCGCGCCGCCCAGAAGCTGCACGACATACGCGCGGAGATCGTGCGCGGACTGCGCGACGTGACCGACGACGAGGTCGCCGCGGTGACGGAAACAGCGGCCTCCGGCGTGCAGGAGATCCCCTCCGACGAGGAGGAGGAAGAGGAGAGGGGCGGGGCCCAGAAGCGGGGCGCCGCGGCGGCGGGTAGGGCGGGCAAAGCTGCGGCGGCGACCAAGTCGGTGAGGGTGGTGACGGTGCAGGAGGAGAAGGGTCGCCTCGAGGCGGCGGCCGCGGCGGCGGATGGCGGCATTCCAGACTTCTGGCTGACCGCCATGTGCAACATGGAGGCGCTGGAGTCCATGATCACCGAGCGCGACCGCCACGCCCTGAGCTTCCTGCAGGACATCACAACGGAGTACATCGAGGGGGATCCGCAGAAGGGCTTCCGCCTCAACTTCCACTTTGCGCCCAACGAGTATTTTTCAAACACGGTGCTAAGCAAGACGTACCGCATGACGTTCGACGAGGATAGCGGGGAGGTTGAGGTGGACTCCATGAAGGCCACCCCGGTTGCGTGGACGTCGCCGGGGAAGAATCTCACCGTCATCCTGAAGAAGAAGAAGCAGCGGCACAAGACGAGCAAGAGCATCCGCGTGGTGACGCGCGAGGAGAAGTGCCCGTCGTTCTTCACCTTCTTCACCGACCCGCTCGGGGACGAGGACGAGGAGGAGGAGGAGGAGGAGCAGGCGAAGGCGGGGGCGGCCAGCCGTAGCGAGGAGCCGGGCAAGAAGCACGCGAAGGACGACGACGACGACGACGAGGACGACGAGGAGGAGGAGGCAGAGGCCGAGCTGCACATCGAGGTGGGGCACTTGCTGATGGAGGAGGTCGTGCCAAAGGCCGCCATGTTCTACACGGGGAAGTCGGTGGACCAGACTGCGATGGCGCTGCAGCGCCAGCTGAACATCCAGTTCCTCGACGACGATGATGACGACGAAGAGGAGGAGGAGGAGGAGGAAAAAGAGGAGGCGGCGAAGAAGAAGAAAGGCGACACACACGACAAACGGCGGCACCCCGTTCACCACCGTGGCGGCGGCGGCGGCGGCGGCAAAGGGGAGCAGCAGTGCAAGCAGCAGTAGGCAGCCGCGGCCGGCCCAAACGGAAAGCCTTTCTTTTTTTCTTCTTTTTGTCGTTGTGTTGTGTGTGTTGTTTTTTTTTTTCTTGTCGCTGTTCTGCTGCTGTTCTCCGCGGCGCCCCCGACGTTTGCCGCGGCGTTGCGCCTGTGCGTGTGCGTGTGCGGGAGACGCACGGACGCCACATCCGTTGCGAGAGCCCCCTCTGCCCATGTCCCCCCGCGCAACGGCTCAACCCAACAGCGAGAAAGTGGCGCAGCGGCAACAAAATAATGAAGCAAAGAGCACAAAGAAGGACCGGAAAAGGACAAAAAGAAATAAATAACACAAGGCTCTGCAGGGGTGAAGCAAAACTTTTTTTTGTTTGGCACTCACCCTCTTTCCTCCCCAATCCTACCCCGTAAATAAAAAGTGAGCGGGGCGTATAAAGGTATACTGTAGTAACCGGCTGAAAGAAGAGGAAAAGGAAAACCAATGAGGTGAGTGGACTTGAGAGAACAACGGAGAGTCCCAAATAAATGAATAAGTACCGAGAAGGATGCCAAAGGTAAGAAAAAAGGAAAGGGGGAACAACTACGGAAAAGAAAAACAAAGAAGAAAAAGGGAGAGGGGGCGGAGGAGGAGTGTGCGCAGCACTGGCCACGTCGACTTCGCTTCGCCCCCTCCCTCCTTGTGGCGTCTCCGCTTACCGCCTTGAATAATCTGCGGGCCGCCGCTGTGTGGGCAAGGCGCCCCCTGGCGCGTGCGTGTGTGCGCCCCCCTCCCACCGTACATCGGCGCCGAGAGGCTGCCGCACGCCGATGCACGTCGCTTTCTCCCTTGCCTCCATCCATCCCGCCTTCTCTTTCCGCGACGTGTCTGCAACGCGCTTTTCAGTGACTCTAAGAGCTAACGCTAATACTCTAACTTTTTTCAATC